AGCTGCCACCTGTTGAAAGAGGGGAATGTTAGTCACTTTGAAGCACTAAACAAATTATAGGAAAAGTTGTATCAACAGTCTGAGCTTTTCTACAAGAAAAAGGCAAATTCAGTTAGCATATTTCATAACCCCAGGGAGAACTGAAGATTTGACTCATGGCCTAATCTAAATTCTACATTCATTGCTTCATGGTGAAAACAGGAATTTAATCCCAAAGCAATCTTATCATAGCACATGTCTCAACATGTGAGATCAAATCCATACTGTCAAATTTCATGTCTGTTCTTAGGCATTAAACATAGAAAAGTGTAAAGCCTGAACAACCTGATCTGTTTATTTCCAAGACATATTTCCAAAGTAGGTCTATGCAAAAGGGTGCAAGTACATTTATAGAGTGGGAATGCACCTGGAATCCTGGCCTGGATCAGGAACAGTGTGGTCAGCAGGACCAGGAGGTGATTCTGCCCCTGGACTCAGCACTGATGAGGTCACACCTTGAATCCTGTGCTCAGTTCTGGCCCCTCAGCTCAGGAGGGACATTGAGGGGCTGGAGCAGGTCCAGAGAAGAGCAACGAGGCTGGTGAAGGGACTGGAGCACAAGTGCCATGAGGAGAGGCTGAGGGAGCTGGGGGTGTTCAGCCTGGAGAAGAGGAGGCTCAGGGGAGACCTTCTCACCCTCTGCAACTCCCTGACAGGAGGTTGGAGTCAGGTGGGGGTTGGTCTCTTCTCCCAGGCAACCAGCAGCAGGACAAGAGGGCACAGACTCAAGCTCTGCCAGGGGAGGGTTAGGTTGGAGATTAGGGAGAGATTTTTTTATGGAGAGAGTGATCAGACATTGGAATGTGCTGCCCAGGGAGGTGGTGGATTCACCATCCCTGGAGGTTTTCAAGCTGAGACTGGATGTGGCACTTAGTGCCATGGGCTAGTGACCACGGTAGGGTTGGACTTGATGATCTTTGAGGTCTCTTCCAGCTCAGTTGATTCTGATTCTATGACATGACTTCAGGCAGTGTAGCTACCTGTGTGTATCTGTGGTGCTGCTTTACATTCCCTTTATAACTAGTGAAGGGAAATAAGTACATACAGGCTGCATTTATTCTCTCCCCGAAGCAGAGCCTTTAAAATGGGCTAGATGAATTACAGTGGTAGTGCTTATTTCTCTGCTTCATGGTTTCTTGCATGTGTTCAGGTGAATCACTCCTGAAATTTTCTGCATTGGGCAACTTACTGACCCAAGATGAGGCTCCTGCATTCTCTGCAGAAGAAGCAGGGTAACCATGTAGGTGCACTGAAGGATACAAACTAAAACAAACTTTTTCAGACAGTTCTGAGTTCAGTGAGAGCACAGTGCCAGTCATGGCTTGGAGTTTCTTGACTGTGTCAGGCTGAAGCAAGTCAGATGACCTTCAGCCAGCTTGTTTGTGGCACATTTTTTGTGTTTTGGCTTGTACAGGTGTCCTTTTGATTCAGTAAACTACCTGATCTTGATCTACTACTTAGCCCTCAGATTCTGTGGACTTAGATTTAGAAAAACACAGCTCTTCTTTGCAGCTTCCTCCAGCTGGTCAGCTGCTGGTTTGAACCTGCAAATTTCAACCTCCTGCTTTAGAGAACATCCTCCTATACCTGTCAGAAAGGCATTTCTTTCTCAGTTTATCAGCTGCCCTGTGAGTTTTCTTTAAATGCTGCGCGGGACAGAAGCTCATGCTCACATTTTTTAGGGCACTGTGAGACACAGCCTTTGTCCCAGTGCCTGGATGCTTGATACAAAAGTCCTGACTAATATTTGCTGGTGGAAGACTCCTCTGCCTCACTCTCCTCTTCCTCAGGAGCATCTGATGCTGGCAGTGTGCTGGCAGCTCCTGTTGGCACAGGGAGCTGACACGAACATGTCACCCATTGTAGAATTGCTGCTTGCTGGGGAATGGGTGTCTGTGCTTTGCTGGTGCCCATAAAATTACTATAAATTGTAGACAAGCTTGAGGTAAAAGCAGAAACAATTTAACCAGCTAAAGAGCGTAAGAAATCAATTGCTGTACTTCAGGCAGATACAGAATAGTGGAGCAGTTAGAGTCCTTGTTGTTACTGCTCATTCAGGGCTGGCTTCAGCATGGTTTCTTTGCCTTCGTTTTCTTTTCAGCTAGCAGGTTTAAGCCAGACTAACTCCCAGGGTGACTGGCAGCTCCCTGGAGATGGGATCTGGCCTTCAGCTGTGCTTTGTCTTGCTTCCAAAAATAGATTCTGGTTTGGGATGAAGTCACCCCTTCTGTCATCCCTATTTCTGCCGAGCATAAATTCACCCTCCTGGCCTCCTGCAGTCCAGGATATATCTGCCTGAATAAAAAGGCATCAGATTTGTCTCTAGTGCCCTCATCACAAAGAAGGCCCATGGATTGTGTCTTTCAGCTGAGGGGATGTGGCTTCACACTTATTTGCCTTAACCTATTTACACAATGCAGTCCCCAGTGGGCAGATAACAGAGGAAGAGTTACATTACCACTGGGTTTAAATGCATAAGCTGTGTCCAGCACAGACCTTTGAAAGTACTTGCTATATAAAAGGCAGTGATGAATGTGAATCATTGATAAAACCTGGTATGATGGAAAAGAAACTGAGGGATGGTTTATGTCTGAAGTAAATGAGCCACAACTGTGGTTTGTGGGAATCAGGGAGGCAGAGCGATGGCATTTTTCCTAACTGGATGCATGACTGTACAATGGAAATAAGAGTTCTGTCTGAGACATTAGAATATTGGAATAATGATAAACCATTCATGCCAGTGACAAAGTGTATGTACATGGACCATGTTGGACAGAGTGCAGAACATTCTTGCCTCAAGGCAAGGTCATAGAACTCACCGTGGTGAGCAAGAGAGACTTCTGCTGTAAATCTTAGGGCACATAGGTGCCAGGAGTTCCTGTGGCACACCCTCAGGAGAAGCAGAGCCTTGGGCTGCCCAGTTCCTACTGCTGGTTACAAGAGTCGAGTTTTTTAGGGCTCTTTGTTTCAGACCAATGATTTTAAGATGAACATGGGATCAGCATATCTAGCTGTCAAAGTTCAAGTTGATTAGTTTAAAGGAATTCAATATGATAAAGTGTTAGAAAGATTGGGGTGTTTTAAGGCATTTTTAGATTTTTGCCTGTGAAGCTGTTGTACTCTGTTGTTAACTGCAAGAGTTTCTTCTTGTTGCAGAAGGATTATGGTTGTACTTGTTAATGGTTTTACTTACCAGTTAAGCTTCTTTACCAGCAGAAGAGACACAGTCTAATATCTAAGAAAAAGAAATTGTGAAACCTTTACAATAAACTCAGAGAAACAGACATTTAAGTAACTAGAATGTAAAATTTTACTGGTTTAGTAGTCTCTTTTACATTTAATAGTTCCAAATGTGCAAAAACCTCCAATTAAATAATCTGTACAGTGCTTTAAAAAGGGTGTGGAAGAAAAGGGGTTTGTGTCTGGGAGGGTGGTCAGCTGGGTGGATAGGGTGTTTCTCTGCACTGCTTTGTTATTAATCTGTGAAGCTGTAACCATGAGAAGCAGAATTCTCAAAACCAGTCAGGTCTGTCAAGCAGAAGTATCTGGAAGGAAACAGGTACACAGCTCCTATGGCTGTTCTCATCAGGATGGCAGGAAGGTGCTGAATCAACAATATGTTTGTCAGCTAGTTTAAAGATATTATCTTACTAGATGTCAAATAATTGGAAGATATATTGAAGAAGACTTTACCCTCTGCAAAGGCCTCAGAAACCAATTTATCCTGAAATAATCCCTAAATTTGAAAAAAGGGAAACAAACTGATATGGTCACTGTGCTGTGAGTAAACTTGAATTCCTGTGTGCTTGCAAGAACTTACCTGAAACTTCATGATTAGCAGTGCTGGGAAATACTAGATAGCTGTGCTTGTATTTGTCTGTGTTTATGCTGTGTGAAAGCTATGGGAAGTGCAGGAATAGTCTCTGAGTAGTAAAGATTCACTGTTTCCCATAACTTAAAAATGTTCACATTATGTTTGTTCATTTTGTGCTTGGACAATTGTTGCTGTATGTTCAGTTTTAGTTTTGGAGCTTTCTGTAGGCCCTGCAACTGTGTTTAAAGACACACTCCATCAAAGTCTCTGCACCACTTGTTCAGTGAGTTGAATCTGTTTTTACTGGGAGACTTTTGGAGCTAAGCATCTCCAGGGGTTTCCTGGAAGATAATTCTGCATCCTGAAATACAGATTAACTAGTCAGATAATTACATCTCAGTAAAGCCTTCTATTAATAGCTATCCTTGCTTTAATGTTTAGATACACTTCTAGAATTCACATAGCCTTTTGCCAGTTCTTTGTGTTTCTGCAGCTTTCAGTGCACGAGAAAATGTCCATTTGTTTCCCAATTACAATTTATTACATTTTAAATTATAAATGTGTGCTGTGGTATCCTTACAGGATTGTTCTGTAGTTAATGGCCACTTATGTATCCCCCTGGAACTTTGCTTTTTGTGGTAATAACAAAAAATGCATGTTTAAATGTGAAGAAATAATCTTGTGATTCTTTGCCGAAAGATTAATGGATAGAAGTCTTTGTAATGACAGTTCTGGCAGGTTTGGTCCTTGCAGTTCTATTTTTCTGTTGACTTACAAACCTCTAATAGCAAGAACAGACTGAGGGCATATAGAAAAGTGTACTCATACAGAAAAGTTGTTCTAGTTTCTCGTGCATCCTCAGGAAGGTGATTTCACCTGACTCATAGATTACAGAGTTGAAGTTAAGCTGGGACTGGGTATCCCCAGGAGGTCTGGGTGCCAGTGCTGTGGCTTGGGAGCTGAGACAGTCTCTAACAGTTCCTGTTGTTCAGTTTGTTTTCTCTGGAGATGGGGATTCTTTGAATCAAGAGTTAAATGGAAGAACATTGGATATGGAAGACTGTGACTTTCTGCCGTAATCTACATTTAGTTTGGAGTGTTGCACTGTTTAAAGAGTTGGTACTAACCATTTGTGTTGTCACTGCAGCTGTCTACTCAAGGAGATGCCAGCCAGGTGATTGGGCCACTCACAGAGGGACAGAGGAGGAATGTGGCTGTAGTTAATTCACTCTACAAACTGCACCAGTCAGTTCTGAAGGTAACCAACCCCTGGCATTTCTCTTCTGGCCCTGATGTTAACTTCTTTGCTCTGTCATATGCACATTCTCTTATTAGTTGATGAGAAGTCTGACAAATACAGCCCAATTTTGGGTTAAGTGCTGCACCTTGCTGTGCATTTGTACAAGTCTTTGACACTTGGTTGGCCCCTGTAAGCACCACAATGTGACAAATGGCCAATGCTGGGAGAGGAGTGAAAGATGCATTTATAGAGAATAATCACATCTGACAGCTGTTATTTTGTGAACATAAGCAATTGAACTCCTGTTATTTCCTATCTGTCTTTGCACTGATCACCCTGATAGCCCTTGTCTGCATCTGTCTCTGCCCAAGCTTATCTCTTTCAGAAGACCCTCACTGCTTTCCCACGATTGTGGCTAAACTGAAAAGGGGAAGGAAAGGGTGAAATCAAGAAAAGCAACACCTCACAAATATCTCTGTGCATTATTACTATGACCAAAGTCTGGCCTGGAAATTTTTTAGGATGGAGCACAGTAATGAATAATTTCATTTTACTTTGGCTTAGTGATGCCAATGGTTGCACAGTCTGTGTAAATTAAAACAAACAGATCTACTGGTAGTTGAGGTTTATCATGTTTAAATCCTAGCCTGCTTAGAAAAAAAGGTCATGAGCACTCCTGACTCTGGGAATGTTTAAAGAATGTTAAAAAATGCTAAAAAGCCCATAAAATTTGCTTGGATTTTGCAAACAGATGGTAGATCAACTTTTAAGTCTGCTTTCTCTGATGTATTTAGTAATGAACCTCATGTGTCTTAGTGTTGGAGGGAAATCTGATATGATTCAGTCTTTGAGTTCAGTACTTATCTGGCTCAAAAATACTATTGTGTAGTATGTTCATAACCATAAGGAAATAGGTAGAATATTCCTTCAGATCATTCCTTGACTTTCAATTCTAACATTGTTGTAGCTGCACATAAACAAGTATTTAACATGTTGTGGTATAATAGTCATAGTACTGAGAAAGAACAATCATTCTTTCCAATATTTGCCACAGAGCTGCTTGTATAGTTCTCCATGAAGTCTATACTTAGCAGTGGGAGAATACACCAGTTATTTTTGTTCTGTTTCTGTTAGCCCTTCAGCTAAATTTCATCTTAACTCCATTGAATCATTTCTTTGCTAAGGCAGAAGCAGAGTACATAGGAAATTTGAGAGCAGAGGACTGACACTGGTGCACTGTCTGTGTAAACCACATTTCATGGTTACCTGTACCTATGTAAACCACTCATTACTAAGGATAACCCAGTATGTTTTCAAGTGAAGTTAAATATTACAGCTTTTAAGAATTTGTTGGATGCTATTAACAATTACTTTAACATTTTTAGGTCATTACCAATCAGAGTTCATTTCCAGCAGCTGCTGAGCAAACTATCACAACTGCCTTAAAGGTAAGTGAATGTTCACATGCTGCAGGGATAGGGGTGAGCTTTGCTTTGCTTGTTGCTCTCACAATGGGCACTTATTTCCCACATATTATTTTGTGTCAGTATGTTTAGTAACAGGTATACAGATATTCTGACGTGTATAATTTGCTGTATCTACAGCTCCATATGTGTTGCATGTATCAAATCACTGCCTGAGTAGTGTTTTGTTCAGAATGGTCAGAACTCTGATGCCATCTGACTGTGGAAGTAAATGTCTTTTTCTGCAGCATTCACACAGCAATAGCTGCACCCTTCATCACCCTCTTCCTCCCCATGACACATACATCACATTATGATTTTTGGGCTGCCTGGTGCTTTCCTGGAGGGGGATGTGGATGGTGGAGCCTCTGCAGATGAGAGCTCTGTACATCCATCGTGCTGGGCACTGTGCTGGGAGGGGTTGTGTGCAGGGAAGGAAGGGCAGTTTGTGTCTGGGGGATGAACAGCTGAACCAAGTGTGTGTACTGAGACAAGCATGTGTACAAATAGGAATGCCAGATTGTTGTGCACCTTTTTAAAGGAGGGCTATACCCAGAAGTAGTAAACAGCCTCATTTCTGGGCTTTTCTGGTAAAATTAATTAAAGAGAGATGTTTTCTTAGGCTTTGGTCTTTGCATTTAGCAGTTTCTAACACAGAATAATAAAAATCACTGCTCAAATGAGCTGTTTCTCCAGGTATTTTCGAGGTGTCAAAATGCAAATGCTTCTAGTTTCGTTTTCCTTACTTCTGCCTTTTTCTTCTTCTATTTTAGGCAGTCCATGATCTAATGGGTAGTGCTGTTCAGCCGTTACTGAACTCTGTGGGAGATTCAGTGGAAGCTATTATCATCACTATGCACCAGGAAGATTTCTCTGGGTAACTAGAAATATCTTTTAAATTTACCATTGCTCTGGTAAGATGCATATGCATAATAGATTGTTATTGCCACAATGTCCTTGAAGCAGGAGTTCTTGTTTGGTGAAGGGAAGGCAATGCTTCGTGGTCACTGAGCAGGGAAAGCAGAATTTCACCTGTCTATTGAAACAAATTAATCAGGTAGCATCTGTCTTTGTCCCTTTTCATTCTTTTTTTTTTTCTTTGCCTACCTGTAAAGTTCATTTTGAACAGAAGGCTAAAGCCAGGCAGAGGCCACTTTTGTGCTTACATCTCCTTTAGCTTTCAAAACTTGTTTTGTGTGGCCAGTCTTCAGAACTGCCAGTATTCCTGTTTCTCAAATCCTCTGATGAAATAGGTAATTTATTTTTATGTAAATCTCAGATTTAGTGTGTTATGCTATTTTCCCATAGAATTTGCATTAACATTTCCAGTGTTCTTTATGTACAAAGATCTTATCTATAATTGAGACTTCCTTAATGTTATTTTGGCTGTCATGTCTGTTCTGACATTGCTTATATCATCATCACTTGTCCTGTTTTGTGACTTGGAAAGTCACTGAAAATAGTGTATTCTCAGAGGTGTTTTGAATTTTCATTTTTGACTTGTTTTTTTTTTCCTTAACAACCCAATATTTTACCCTCACCATCTTTATTTTCTCAGCAGTAGCAAAATACCTCTCTAGGTGGATGAACTGTTTCTAGCCAAAGGCTGAGTTTGATTAGGTAGCTCAGGTTCCTGAGTTTGGAGTCCAAGGAGGAGAAAGGGGATTGATTTCTGTGTCCAGGGGCTTCTCTGCTGCTTCTGTGACACTGACTGTATAATCCTGGGTTTGGAGGAATCTAGGAAACTGATTCTATGCAGAAAACAGGTTTGGGATAGGCTAAGCTAGTAACCCTGTGACATATGTTTGTGTTTTATGATCCATTATTAGAGTTTCAAATCAACAACTAGGACATTTAAATTTAGGGGCTGGGTTTGAAGTTTAGGCTCTGAACTGATGGAGGCTCTGCAAGTCGGATAGGAGTGAGGTGGTTTCCTTTATCTTGTTAGGATGGGAACAGCTGATAAAGAGATATTTTTTGACTGCAGTTTCAAAGAGAGCTACATGCTCCTTTTTCTGAGTAGAAATGAGACTCTACAATTCATGCCATGACTTCGTGGGATAGGAAAAACATGAAAAAGAATCCAATAGGTTTTGGTTGTGTTTTAAAGATGAATTTAGCTGCCTCTATTTCTTTCTTTTTTTCCTTTTTTTTTCCTTTCCAGATCATTATCCAGCTCAGGAAAACCAGATGTCCCTTGTTCTCTCTACATGAAAGAACTGCAGGGTTTTATAGCAAGAGTCATGAGCGACTACTTCAGACACTTTGAGTGTTTTGACTTTGTCTTTGATAACACTGAAGCCATGGCTCAAAGAGCAATTGAACTTTTCCTTCGCAATGCCAGTCTAATAAGGCCCCTCGGCGAGGGTGGGAAGATGCGACTCGCGGCCGATTTTGCACAGGTACCCTCGTTTCTGCTTCCTGGTGTTGCTTCCCTGATTTCACGGATAAATATCAATGCCTTTGTCCACATCCAAGTATAAACAGGCTGTTGTAGAGATTGGTGCATTCCAGGTCTGAACATCCTCTCTGATGAGAGACTGGATCCTGAGAAATGCACCCACTGAGTAGCTGAAGATCCCTCGTCACCGTGAGGCACATCCAGGGAGGTCTGACAGCTTCCTGTCAAGTGACTGTTGTGTTTAAATTCAGCTGCATCTTGACACTTAATCCCTCTTGGCTGACCTCTTCAGCACGTCCATCATCTGCCACCATTCATTCACTTCATTCTTTCTCTGTCTTCTGATGGAATGGTGTGTCTCTTTCTTAATTGCCCTGTATATCACAGTGCCCACGGTGGTTAGGCTAACTCAGCTGCCTTGCAGTGAAGGAGACAAGCTCAAGAAATACCAATATCCTGGGGAAGAACTGCCCTGTCAGAAACAGAAGGGCAGTTTTCTTATAGGATTTTCTTCATGACCCAATTGCCTTACCTGCCTCTCAGCTTTACCTAATTCCTCTACTGGATTAAAGCACAAAAGGAATTTCCAGATCCATATCCACTCCCTGTCTGTGTTATCTACTGTATTAGAATTTAATTTGTCAGTAGTAACACCGTGTGATTAACTTGCCAAAGAATACATGCATCCACTAGATCAATCTGAGGGTGCTGGTTGTTATTATCCAAGTGGAAAAGGGAATTAGCACCAGCTGTCTGCATACTGAGTGCTGCTTTTGCCTGGTAGGTAACCAAGGTAGGAGGGAGGAATTGCTGCCATCTCCACTCCTGCTTGTGGCTGCTTTGTTTCAGTTGCCTGTGAGTTACATCCTCCTGAGTAAAATGTTCTTATTCATTACTCTAAAGCAGCAAATCAGCTTTTAACCACCGAAATTAAGGGCAAGTTTTCAATTGCTTTCAGTGAGAAGGTTCCATTCCCTGATGTATTTTGAAGACAGTGGCATAAAATTGGAAGGAAGAAAAAAAAGAGACTTGGCTCGTCTTGTGGAAGGAATATAAATAGTTTTTGTAATTTATACTAATTTAACTAAAGTAAGTTATATAAATTTGGGAAATATCTTCACCTCATTCTAGAGTAAGAGCATCTGATCAAAGCACCTGTTATAATAATACTAAAAAATATCACTTGTTTATGTATTTTAAACACTGATTTTTCTCATTCTGACTTGGGCTGCCTTTTGAGTGAGAAATGAAGGTATGTTTTCAGCTGAGTGTAGGGGAATTTGCATGGTCTTCCCCACTGTGCTGAGTGTAACTCCTGAATGGACAGCTGCAAAGATAAATATCCTGATTTCTCTTCTTTGTACTATGAAATCCAAAAGAAAGTTTTTAGTTTATTCTCATCTGCTGCCTTCAGCTGTTGCTGCATCTGGGGCTGCCTTGTGTTTTTCTCATCTTCACATTGCACCATATTTTTGGCTTGTTTAATAATAGGCTCAAGACAAGCAATGTGTCTGTGTCCACAGCCAACTCAACCCTTACTCTGTGCCTCTGAGCATCCCTGCACAGAGCTCCTCAGGGTGTCCCACTCCACAGAGTGGCCTGGACACTATATCCTGTTGCTTGGGATAACAGAAGAAGGGCTGAAACATTTTGTATGTGAGGGCTGTCTTATATCCATGTTTTCTGGGATGTGTGTGCTCCTCCCAAAAACCTGGTGGACTTTGGGCACACACACCAGTGCACCAGCTCCTGGTAGCCTCACTGGGAAGATTGTCACATGATGTGTGCCCCAGTGTTGGGCACATTCTCTGAAATGTGGCTGAAATCTTCATCAGGACAAATTGCTTGTAATTTTGAATTTTCTCTACTCAAAAAGGGTCACATGTTCCTGCTCAAAAATGACTTTTGAGACCTAAAACCCCTTTTGGTATTTTGGGGTTGCTTGCAAGCAAAAGACCTGGGCATAAATCCATCCAGAAGCTTTGGTTAATTTGAGGTCCTATTATAAACACACATGCAACAAGTCAAATAATCTCGGATAGCCTCAGGTTTGGGTATCTCATGTGCTTGTGCACATTTCTTTCGAGGTACTCAGAGGCAGAGTTAGTTATTCTGCCTTATACTCAGCAGAATAGCTTTGGCTGAGGGATTGGAAGATTCTTGCACTGGAAATGTGTTTTACTGAGAAGTTGCCTCAAAACAACAGGTGTCTACACAGAAGGGGGGAAACTGATTTCAAGTTCTCTTCATTCAGAACTGGGTTTGGTGAGGTGCATAACAGCCAATTTTCATGAGTGAGGCTCAGCTACTTGCACAGTTAGGAATTACTGCTGTAGCTCTGTGGAATTCTCTGTCTCAGCCTGTTTCCAGTGTCAGTACTGCATTTGGCTGTTTGTGCATGTTCCAGCAGTGAGACTAGGTGTGTCAGTGTGGCAGCTGTAAACAGAGCTATGAGAGGCTTGAAATGTGCCTGAATGTCATTCATATGAGTTCATGTAAATCAGTGCCTACAGGAACACTGCAGCCCTAGAAAACATGCACAGTGCTGCAAGGTTGTTAGTGTGTCCTGTGCTAAGGTTTCTTGAGACTCTCATTTGAAATATTTCTAGTCTACAGGCTGAATTCACCTGTTTTCATGCTCTGTTTTTATGCAGGCAATTGCACAAGATTACTGCTCAGTTCATCCCATACATATTCCTGAATCAGTTTGTTTTATTTGGGTTTGTATTTTTAAGGTGCCCATAATTCAGTATTCACATATTGAATGCCAAATTCCACTTTTTAATTTATTGCTAGTCAGGCTGAATAAAATGTTCTCCTGGAGGCAAGCAAACCCTGATGGTTTTCAGCCTTACAGTTTCTGGGGAGTATCAGTTCTTCTCCAGAGGACTTTTTAGCTTGCTTTGTATTCAGAGTTGTTTCAGCACTTGGACACACTTTGGGATTGTGGCTTGTCATTCAGGCCTTCCAAAAACCCAATGGAAGTGCTGGACAGTGCAGCAAGGAATGAAGTATAAGCATGATCACTTGAGGAATTTATTTAGAAGAAAAGAGGAATCTACAGTCATAATTTGGCATGGAAATTATTAGTGTGCTACACGGAGTTTGTAAGCTGATACAGGAAAATAGCTATTTATGAATAGCAAATACAAATCACAACTGCATTGAAATAAACTAGTCTGGAAATTGCAAAGACTAAGTAATCATTATTCTTCATGGCATGAAGGCATGACATGATTTTCCATCTATTTTGGAGTGACATATAAGGCTGGAGCCACTGCCTGTGCCAAGAACCCCATCTCATGTCGTGACTGATTATTTTCAGCCTTGTCGAGGGAACTATTTTTATTGGTTCTGCTAATACTACTCTGTATATGCTTTCCTATGTTTCTTATCTAGGTGTGATTTATGGTTGGGTTTTTTGGCATTGTTCAGTGCTGTGTTCAACCAGTTTTGATGGGGTATAGTTAACACTGTCACCGACTCTTCAAGTCTTTCTCAAAAAATTGCTGCCAAATGTTTTATTGAGTTTTCCTAGAAAAATGTTTTTATGGTAGAAGTTGACAATGCTGAAATTTAGTGCAGAAGAAATGTTTCTATCTGCTGGTTAGCCTATGGTCAGAGTCTGGTTTCCTGATTCAATGTGTGGCATTAAAAAGAAGCAAGATTATTAGGCATTTTGATTCCTAAAGATGTAAACAGATTTGCTCATTTGATCAAATATGATGATGCAACTGTAAAAGTGCTTTCTAACATTTTTCCTAAAAATTTACCTTTCCAGTTTCCTACAGAGAAGTGAGAGCAGCAGGATGCTGTAATCACAGTTGTACTCATAAGAACACAGACTACTAAAGCTAAAATGCACTTAATGTTTAATGCTAATTATCATCCTGGATAGAGGAAATTATTTTCTGATGTGTGTTATTTTAGAGGTGTTGTAGCTGAAGGATTTACTTGAACATCAGCTGGTTTAGAATTGCTGCATTGGGGAGAAATCAAATTCCACATCCCTTCAAGGCCGGGTTCTTTCATCTAATAGTTCAGAGCTCTTCTGCTCCCTTGCTTGTTAAAACATTCCTCCCTGGTGAATGGCTAGGAAAAAAGCATTTTGAGTTAACATTTAAAAACTTGGGATTCATCTTGGCCAGGAGGAAATGTAATTGCTAAAAATTTAATGTTAAGATTTTCCAGCTGAAAAAACCAGCTGTTTACTGGTGAGAGCTCTTGAAAATCCCACAGTAGGCACTAAAGAATAACTTCACTGTGGGGTTTTTCAAAGCACTCTCCAATATATATGCATTATCTGTATCCTGACTGCGTATTAGCTTCACCCTTGGGTTGCTGAACATAATCCAATTAGAGGAGCCAGCCATGTGATGTATTTTTTACAATATGGCCCAGCCAGTGAATAGTTCAGCAGATAATTGACCCCCTAGCCATGGGCTATGGCAGGGTCATAGGAGATGGAAAGGTAATAGAGCCTTTTTGGGCTTAGAGAGCAAGAACCATTGAGGAGAAGCATATGTTGCTGCTGTGTTCTGTGAAGCATAGCAAACTAACATTAATAAATCATGGAAAAGCAATGGGTTTTGAACAAAGTTAGAAGAAATGAGGCAGAGTCATTAAGCCTTCTTCTGTTGTATCTGCTGCTTCCTTTTTGGCAAGGACATGCATCACCTCCTGCTTCCCTTGGGCCCTGTGTTATGATTATCTCATATTAGTCAGTCAAGCCTCTGTGGTTGCATATTACTGCTTGGACACGTGATTTATCACTGAATTTAACCTGGATATCTGAATTTTCAGATTTGCAGTTCTGGAAGGGAGAAGTGGAAAAAGAAACAAAAAATACTTCTTACCCGTCTGTATGTAATCACCAACCCGTAACAGCTCACAGGCTTTGGAAACTGTAGCTGTATCTCACAGCAAAAGCTGCTACACTCTAAACGTGCTGTGTGAATCAACAGTTGGTGCCATTTCAGGTGATGACAGGTAGCAAAACCAAGAAGTGATGGATGCTCAATCCTCTGCCCAATTCCAGCACCTTAGGAACAGCAGCTGTTCCGGCGAGAGGTTCCTCCCCAGCACTTGCTCCTGGGCCAGCAGAGCTGGCTGGCTTGGTGCTCAGCAGGGACACAAAACCCCACTCAGTGCTCTGCAGAAAGGAGGGGAACAGCAGGAGGATGCTGCAGCATCTCACTACATCTTTGGGCTCAAACACCTAAAATCCAAGCAAAGAAAGCAGTCTTAGTTATGACGTGAAGTATGTTTTTTGTTGGAGAGATTGGGTTATAATGCACAGCAGAATGGGATTGTAAATGAAAAAAATGCTTTCTGTGGTTTATGTACATTTTTGCATTAGTTTTCACTCATTCCCACTCTTTGTGAGTCAATTTGAGGTGGTATAGTATGCTGCAGAGCTTGAAAACAGTATTTCTCTTTGGCAACTAGCACTTCACGAATCAACCATCTGCTGCCATTAGATCTATCTAGCTCTAGCTATGCTAATAATTTCCTACAGTGCATAAAGGTTGAAGATGAAGTAATAGCATTTTCCAAAGTGAATTTTCTTCTTTAGTACTTAAGACTAAAAATGTTGTTTTATGGAAACTGCAAAGTATATTCAAGAGAATTCACTTAAAGTTGTTTTAATAAGGAATTGGTTAAGCTGTAGGAAGTTTCACTTATGTCTCATTACTTCAGATTATGTTTCAGGAGTGAAACAATCTTTTCAAACTTATTAAGCAAAATTGTATTTTGCTATGCTGTTGTTTCTTTCCCCTCCTGAGTACAGTTTGATCTGCACATCTCTGTTTCCACAAGCCAGACTGGTGGTTTGTTGCCTGTTATCAAAGTCTCTAAAGAACCTAAAGGAATTATCTTCTCCCTGGTCCCTCACAGCTATAAACCCAGAGCTCCCACCAGAGCTGGGACACCAACTCCTGCAGGATATCAGTTACTTCCAGCTGCCCCCAGCCAATACTGATGCCTGAAGGGAAGCTCTGGAGAAATCAGTCTTGATCCTATTTGGTTTTCAGGATCTTTAGGGTTCTTGTATCATAATGCAGCAAAACATACTTAATTAGCTCCTCTTTTTTGGCTGCTTGCTCCTGGTCCTGTGCAGCAGACCAGCCTCTTGGCTCCTGTGTGTGCTGGGAAGTGTCCTGGGGGAGCAATGTGCTGTGGAGTTAGGTTGTACATGCTCTGCAGCCCAACACACCTGCATGAGGGAGAGGGACCTCAGCCTCAGGCTGTGAGGGTGACTGGGGGACAGGACAGGGATCCCACCCAGCTGGAGAGAGTTCATAGAGACAGGGATCCCACCCAGCTGGAGAGAGGGGCCAGTTCATAGCCTGAATGAGAAGATCTGGGGCCCAGGAGGGCAGCAGGGGGGATGGAGCCAGGTTCTTACCCAGAGCCTTATTTCCTTATTTCCACTTCCCAGATTTTGACTCACTTTGTGCTCCTGTCAGTTCCTGCTTAAAATAAAATGCAGAGTTTAAGTGACCTGGAAGTGCTTGATGGGGAGCATGTACTCCAAGGTCCCTAGGCTCAGGCAGTGACCGTGCACTGCCCTAGGATAGCTCTGTGGGACATTCCCCATCACCTGTCCTGGTCTGCAGAGGAAGCCAAGGGGCCTGGGTTGGGTCCTCTGGCTCTCCCAGCTGAGTGTCATGGAGGAGGATACTCCTACAACACAACCCACCTGACCTTTTGAGGTGTCCACCTTGGGGAAAGATGTGTCACCTCCCAAGAGTGGCTGTTTCTCTCCACTGAGTATGAAGTGAACCTGTAGATGTTGAGAAGTAGGTGAGAGGACTCCCAACCTTCCACCTGCTCTTAAAGATGGGTGTGTGAAGTATATGGCCTTGGTTTGCATTGATTGCTTATTTAATTTCTTCTGGGTTTAGATGATAATTCACCACACCATGTTTCTTGTTCATGCTGGAACCCCTGCGTGGTTACCTGCTCTTGGCCAAGCTGGTGGCCCAGCAGCTCTGGCTGAGGAAATTCTACAGCCAGAAAGAATAATTGAATAGTATTGAAGTGTCATATCACAAACTCTTTGAAACTCATTCAGCAATATGACTTAAATGGGAAGCTCATTGTATGGTGGTTTTGATCTTGTTACTTATTTCAGCTGTCGTCCTTAGAAACTTAGTTTAATTGTGCATTATGTGTAAATCAAAGCCTGAATAGTCTTTCAAGTTGGGGATTTAAAAACCAAATGTAGAGAGTAAAGCTTGATCCCTCACTTGACTGAAACCTCAGGAATGCAAAAAATAAAGACTTAATCCATATCTGACTAAAATTACTTGAGGGTTTTTCTGAGTTTGTATTGGTGTGCAGATTAACTGAAATTCTGCTGTGTGATGTTCATGTTCAGCCTGGGATCCAGGAGGGATTGTGTGTCCTCACTATTAATGAATAGCCTGTGACAGAATTCAGAGGTAAAAACCCAAGCAGAGCCTGGCTCTTGTTCAAAAAGGCAGGAGAACTCCAGTGCTTAAAAAACAGGAAATGTTTTAAACTTGTTTGTTTTGAAAGATGGATGCTGTGACTCAGAGCCCAAACAGGATGAAAATAAGTATGAAAATAATGCTCTCACCAATGCTCTTTTGCCTGCAATTCATGTGACCCTGTGGCAATAGTTCTCTGTCTGAGAACTAGGGTTTGTGCCCCACAATTGCTTTTAAGAAGGAATCACTTTAACCTTATCCTTGCCAAAGGAAAGCGTGCCCAGCTGAGAAGGGTCTGCAGTTTTACTGCTTTGCAGTGGTTTGTGGAGCTCTGCCTACATTTGCATCCTTCCCAGGCTGTGGTCAGTTTTTTGGGGCATTGACATAAATGCTTCATCAGGAAACTCACTGCCAATAAAACAAACCTGCTGCAAGAAACAAAGCTTCAGTCTGAAGATTGAGATTATTGCTCCTTCAAGGACCCAGTTCTGTATTTTGGGCCAACTAATCGATGCAATGTTTGTTTCCACAGATGGAGTTGGCAGTAGCACCACTGTGTCGGAGAGTCTCTGACCTGGGGAGATCCTACAGACAGCTCAGGTCGTTCAGGTGAGCTGCAGTCACAGTATGACTAACCTGTATTTCAAAACTGATTTATTACCTCGTGTTAGCTCTGATTGAACTAAGAGCTTTTTTGGCAACACCCACCTGCAAATTAGAAATAGATTAAAGTTCTTTTAAATTTTATGCAGAGTATAACTATGATTTAACAATCTTTGTCATGCAAATGTTGGCCAAATTGTACTTTTTTTGTGTTGCTTTCAGTACAGCTCCTGTATGACAGTGAGTTCTATAGTTATCTTAAATGTTTTCACTGAAATACAAAATTTACAGTCCTATGTTGTTTAATTACAATAGGCAACTGCTGTACATTTTTGCAAACTGGACCTGTGTTGGAAACCCAAGATGCAGAGTAGTGGCAAAAAGTTAAGATGATTAGTTCCTAATGCAAATTGCCACACATAGAGGCATTTTTCTAATGCATAAGATAAGCTTTTTCTTCCTTTTACAAGTGTGTTATTACATTTTCCAGACCACTGCTGTTCCAGACCAGTGAGCACATTGCCAGTAGCCCAGCCCTGGGAGAAGTTATTCCATTCAGCATTATTCTTCAGTTCTTGTTTACAAGAGCACCACCAGAGCTAAAATCACCCTTCCAGGTAGGAAGATCAACCTGTCTTTCCCTCTCAGGTGACCTAAAGAGGAATGAACATTGTAGTTTTATTTAAAAGTTATCAAAGCTCATATTTTATATGATTTGTTGGCTTTTGGTTTTGTTGTGGCAAAGGTGTTGTGGTAATTGACTTCTTCTTTTGATTAATTAACAGTGGGAATATGATAACCTGATTTTGAATAGGTTCTCAGCTCTTTACTATTCTGTCAGCTCATAGAAGAAATTGCAGCTCTTTTCCCAGACTGAAAATTGCCCAGCTCCTACTCATGTAAGATGCAGGAAATCTAGATAAAAACCCTTGTGAGAAATGGGCCAAGAGCTGATGTGGGAAATCACCTCTGAGCTCCCACATAACACACTGGGCTATTTCTATTCATTGTCTCCAACTCCTTCTGCATCGCTGCAGCATTGGGAGAGCCTCACGTAGCCTTCACCGTGTCATCTTTGATTCTTAAATTGCTGTGCCTGTTTCCCTTTTGGTGCCTGTGTGTAACTGCTGTCTGTGTTTCTCTGTCAGAGGGCTGAGTGGTCCATCGCCCGCTACTCGCAGTGGCTTGATGATCACCCATCAGAAAAGGACAGACTCGCTCTCATACGGTAAAAACTGTGCTTCTTTCTTCTCTGTGTTTGTGAGAATGGAGCAGTGACTTATCTGTACACCAGAACTGGTCTTGAAAAGTGAAAAAATGTGCCTTAGGTGATGAGCAACCTACTCTGGTGGAAGGTGTCCCTGCCCAGGGCAGGGGGTGACACTAGATGATCTCTAAGGTCTAGTCCAACTCCTAAAATTCCATGATTCTATGTATCATAGAATTACCCTGTCTCCACTCATGGGATGAGCTGCAAAAGGGCAGAATATATAAACTGAACTGTCCCCTCCACCTCCTGTACCCAAACCCTCCAGTGCCTTTGGAAGCAGCACATAATCCTCTTGCAAAAGAAGGAAACCATGCACAATGTTGGTTTAGATTAATACTGAGTTTAAACTGCCTCCCTCTCTTAACTGTTGGAAAGTCAAAGCTGCAGCTGTCCTGTCTTCTGTATGGGGAAAGAGAAGCTTTGGAAGCGTGACCCAATGCAAATGTAGGTAGAAATCTAAAAATGTGAGACCCTTGTTACACCCCTGTGATGTTTTTCTTCAGGAAGTCAGCCCATGACCTTTAGGAAGTGATAATTACATCAGATTTTTTTTGAATCTTGTTAGGGTAGATGACTTTATAACTCGATACTATTTTGCATCTTAAAATGTTAGGGAAAGTTATGAAGAGTCTTGTTTTTCAAAACAAGTTTTTTTGAAGTATGTTAGAGAGAACAGATGAGTTGTGTGAATATGACAGAGCCAGCCCTGAGGATCCTCAGGATTCAAGGCTCAGATGATCATTTCGCTCCTAATGCCCTAAGTCTTCCCTCCAGTGGCAGTTTTTGCTCAGTGTCAGCCACTCCAGTGGCACAGGAGAGGCTGTCCCACATAGCTGTGCCAGGCTCCATCTGGCCTGGGAGCCAACCCTCTCCTTGAACTTCTGTGCTGGATGCTGCCAGCTTCTGCTGAAGTGATAAAAGCTGACTTTTAAGTTCCAGCCAGCAGTGGTTGTGCATCAGAAAGTCGACTGTTATCTGTCCACACTTCTGAAGCAGCCAAGAGAAGTCTGCTATAAATATTTACAGTTCTGAGTCTGATAGCACTATACAGTCCCATGTAGTGATTGGGCCAATTAAGGAAATCCTAGTGGATCTCCAGTAGATGTTAGTAGGATTTATTTCTGATGTATTAAAATACAATCTGAGTCTCTTCATGTGTGTATTTTTTGAAAATCAAATACGTTGTTAGTCTAGTTTGTCTACAAAACTAGCTTTGCTTGACTCTCAAGCCATAACACCTTGAATTACAGGGTGTGGGTAATAGGTACAGGGCTGACAGAGCTGTGTATGCAATGAGTTGTGAATATTTGATTGTAATTTCCATCCTGTAGTACTGGCAAAACTGACAATGTTGACTTTCAGATATGTTAGGGAAAGCCAAGAATGCAAATCATTTGAGAACTGATGGGATTTTGTTCTCTTCAATCCTCTTTCACAAGTTCAAAAATGCCATCCTTAAACTACAACAAGCAACAGTCTTTGCTTGCAATTAAATTTCATCCATTCTCAATTAATGAGCTTGCTGGTGGTCATGTTCAGGCACTGAAAAATTGCTCTGACCATGGAGGCATTAAGGGACAAGCCTTGGGACAAGGCAGATAGGCAGAGTCATCCACTAGACCAAGCAGTGTAGCTGAAATACTTCAGCCTTTCCTTTCCATCCTCTCATTGAATCCTTTATTCATCTTGCATGATACCAATATTGAAATGTTTTAACTTTGTAATCTCAAAAATGTGCTGCTACAAGGTTATCACTGGGCATTTTCCAGGGAGACTGGTTGTGCTGCTACAAGGTTATCACTGGGCAAGGTTATCACCTGAACATTTTCCACGGAGACTGTGGTCCTTTTGGTTTGTGCTTGGATATGACTCCACTCCACCTGGAATACTGCACACAGTTCTGGTGTCCTCAACATAAGAAGGACATGGAACTGCTGGAGCAAGTCCAGAGGAGGCCACAAAGTTGCTAAGGGCACTGGAGCATCTCCCTGTGAGGACAGGCTGAGGGAGTTGGGGCTGTTCAGCCTGGAGAAGAGAAGGTTTTGTGGAGACCTCAGAGCAACTTTTCAATATCTGAAGGGGCTACAAGGAGCCAGAGAGGGACTCTGTGCTAGGAACTGCAGTGATAGGACAAGGGGTAATGAGTTCAAACTGAAGGAGGGAAAGTCTAGCTTAGGTGGGAGAAAAAAGTATTTTACTCTAAGGGTGGTGAGACACTGGCACAGGCTGCCCAGGGAGGCTGTGGTTGCCTGGCAGTGTTCACAGCCAGGTTGGATGAGCCTTGAGCAACCTGATCTAGTGAGGAGGTGTCCCTGCCCAGGGCAGGGGGTTGGGACTAGGTGATCTGTAAGGTCCTTTCCAACCCTTAAATTCTGTGATTTTATGACATGGATATTCATTGTCCCAGGTCATGGAGAGGGCAGCTTTGAAGATCTGCCCTTCCCAGAGGCCTCTGTTGGCACTCCAGTGCCTCTTCCCTACCCCTGTTACACCAGAGCAAGGCTGATTGTCTCTGCTCATGCTGGTTGTGTCTCCATCCACTGGATGAGTGGATGGAGACAGAGTGCTCAGCACTCTGCAGCTTCGCTGAGCTGTGAGTTAACTCTTGCCCAGGTGTTTTGGTTGGGAGCTCGTGTGGCACTGCAGTCTGGGAGCAAGGCACAGGGGGTGGCCAGTGCTGGGATGCAGGGAGTGAAGGGGATGGTTCTCGTGCAGACAGCAGCCACTGCTGTATTCCCTCACCTTTCACCATCTCCTCTCATGGCTGGAAGTCATTTCCCAGCAGACTCATTGTCCCTCGTGCAGGAAAGGGAACCTCAGTCACTAGGATGGCCACATCTCACTCATATTTTCTTTAATACTCTCTTGGAAGATTTCTGAGCCTGCTCTTCATGTGTATGAACCTAAGTCAAACTACAGGTGTCCTGCTCTTTTATCAGCCATCCTCCTCCAGCTTTTTTTGCCTGTAGTAGCTCAGCTGTGCTAATTGAACTTGGGATGTTTGGAGCCTTCAGATCCCTGCACTGTCCTACATCAAGATATTATCTCTCTGTTTGCTGCAACCTTGCAAATGGTAATTTTCTGCAACTTCCCTTTGTAACAACTGTGCAATTACTCTAGGGACCTGCTGCTTAGATATTAATTTACTTGTGTTTCCAGGATCCTTACAGCTTCACATTAAAGCTAATTGGAGTGCTTCTTCCGCTCGGTAGGACTTCAATGCTTCACATGCAACGTGGTGTGAATGGTATAAATTAGCACCATTCTGAGCATTTTTGTGCCTTTCTTTCTGCTCGGATCCAGCACGAAGGGTGGGATTTACCTGGCCAGAGGTATATTTGTTTGACTCCCTTCAAAGTCAACAGAGAGCAGCAGGCACTGCTGGGGCTGATTCCTCTCATCCTGAAACAGGTACCTAAAATAGGTCAGTTGTGTTATGTCCTGGAAGCTCCATTTCCTCTGCTTCAGGGAAGGGAGTGTGGGCTGGGACACAGGAGCTGTCTCAGGCAACCAGCTGCCCTGCAGACTTGGAAAGTTGGGTGAGATAACCCTGCTGCAGGCATCCTCCTGGGGCAGGGACTGTGTTGCAAGGAGTGCTTCTTTAAGCATTTTTTTTCCTTTTTAAATTAAGTTTGGATGTGCAACCTTTCTTACCTAAAAGAAACTCTAATGGACATGACAGGATTTGAGCCAGCCTGAAGGACAGTTCGGCCCCTCAAGGGCCAAATTCTTACCTTTACCATTCGAGTGTGGGTTAGCTCCCCACTGGAGCAGAGTGGAAAGCCAGGCCCAGTGAAGGGTTTGTTTCCATGGTAAGTGCTGTCCTTGGCTGCAGAGTGGCTCTGACCATGACCTGCCAGGGGCAGGGACAGATGCCAGCTCAGGGACCACCACGAAAGCCCCATCTGTGCCCTGAGTTTATTCTCAGTGGGCAAAGCAGCCTGCCAGCTCAGCCCCAAGAGCAGAGCTGTGCTGGGTCAGTGCTCTGCTCTGCTCAAACTGGGCCATCAGCAGGCAGGGCAGCTCCAGGGCTGCTGTGTGCAGCCTCCAGCACCTCCAGGCACTCCCAGGCCATTCATAAACCCCTCAGTGTCACTCTGCTTGTCTGTCAATGCACAGTCCCTTTGATCTCTCTATTATGGAATAGCTCAGAGATGTCTCCTGCTAATCTGTTGTCCTACAGGTGATGCTGTTGGGTTTAGCAGTAATTTTTATGGCACTCAGTTAAACAGACCTGAGTCAGACAGATGTGTTCTTACACGGTGTGTTTTCCATTTTCCGCTTCGCCCTGAAGTCTGCAGAGCAAACAGACTTTTAACAAGGTACTAAAGAAGTCTGGGCCTGGTGTCCTCCAGCTGTCCTTGTGATTGATCCTCACCAGAGTGCACAGGGCATGGAGCAGGAGGATCATCTCTGCTTCATCTGGAGCTCACAGTGTACATCAGGCTCCGTTTGACCGAGACAGAGCCCAGGAGGGCAGTGCTAGTATCCACAGTTCCATATAACATTAATTAATCAGAATAATTCTAAATGATGCACATTAAGGTCCCTTA